GTGAATTCCTTGACAACCTCAATCTTCTCTCCATTTATTGTGATGCTGCTCATTGGTCCAGTTGTGAGGATTTTTGTTTTCTTTATGTTGAGACGTAATCCATACTGCAGACTGTATTCTTCAACCTTCATCAGTGGGTCTCATGAGGTGAATAAGCTGCAAGACATGTTGGACAGATTCATTAAAATATTTGTTCTCTGTCCTGAGTGTGAGAATCCTGAAACAGATTGGTGAGTACCTTTGAGGTTTTTGCCAGTAAAAGAAAAAGCAGTCCTGTGATACCACCAAATCATGATTCTGAGAGGGCAGAGCAGACGTAATTGGAAGTAAAGCACAAAAGCTCCAATTTTAGAGCTATTTCATACTGAAGTTTTTTTTTTTTTTTTTTTTTTTTAAATCAGTATTTTTTGTCTACTGAGCTGCTGTTTTAGATATCTTCTGAGGGTTATGTATTTTCATGCTTTGTTCTTCACTGTAGAATTATCACCATATATTATGGATGACATACTTGTTTTTATTTTTGGCAGTATGTCAGCCCAAAGAAGGAAACAATAAGTAATTCTTGTAAAGCCTATGACTATCGAGGCATGCTTGATACATAAACTGTGCACATTCATCCTCAAACACCCACCTGGTAAGTCTTCGTGATGAACTTCTAAGATCTTAATATAAAGCAACTAATTGTTGGAAACAAAATGTAAGTTTTTCTGCTTTAGAACAAGAATATAAGGTATTTTTAATCCTTGTACTATATTTAATCTATGACTCCTTTGAATGTACCATCAAAGCTGCCGGTTAAACTAAAGCAGCTTTTAAGCATCTTAAAAACTAAAAAACCTAACTTGGTGCCATCAAGTCAGTTCCAACTAATAGCAACCCTCATTGGGTTTCTGAAGCTGTAAATCTTTACGGAAGTAAAGTGCCCCTATCTTCCTTCCACAGAGTGGCTGGTGGGTTTGAACCACCAGCCTTCTGTTTAGCAGTTATGTGCCTTAGGCACTGTGTCACTAGAACTTCTTTTAAGCATCTTAGAAGGGATGAAAAAGTAAATGGGGCTATGTTCATAAGCTTAAGTTTACACAAACAACACTCTGTGGCAGATGATTGAAACTGTCCATTGTTTGTGCTTGCTATAGCAAGAAAGTCTAAGCTATTCTGCTGTTCTCTATTCAGTAAGAAAAGCCATTACATAGGCTTAAACAGTGTTGGAGCTGTTGGCTAAAGTCCAGTGGAGATTTGGTCTTGTTTCAAGTTCATGAAGGGTGGAGGGATCATAATGGATACCCTTCATTACCTGATTTTTGAAGCATCAACACTTCATCCTAATCTTACCCAATAGTTAAGTGTTTAGAAATGTCTGGAAGACTAAATAAAAGAGGAAGAATTGGAACTTAAAAAGACGTCAATATTTAATATCAATTCTACCACTAGTTTGGATCACTCTGTTCTTATCCTGAATTTCTTACCCATGAAGTAAGGTATGCAAATTTGATCTGTGCAGCCTTTTAGAATTATAGGTAAAATTGTATTTTTGTGTGGTTTTATTTTCCTATAGAGAATAGGGACAGTGGTACAGGAAAGAAAGAAAGGAAAA